ACTAGACAAGTAGTTATCACTCATAGGCACACACTCACACATATGTAGCACACTCACATATTTAATTTCACGTATTTTCCCCAAATACACTATAATCTCATAACTCTAAGCATATTAGTAAAAAAATATAGGACTACGATTTCAATGTAGTACCACTAGCCAAGCTTGGCCAGTGGACAGTTAAAAAATAGATATTCTAGTTCAACTTTAATTAATATAAAATAAAGAACATGTAAAACAAGTTTCTCAGCACACTAGCCACATCTTTGTACACAAAGATGAAGAATATTTCCAGCTCCATAGAAAATGTTCTAACTACAGTTTACCTACGATAGAAGTCAACAAAAAAAATCTGCCAACCTTACATGGTTTTAGATTCAGTAATACATGTCTAAATGACATATGGGTGAAAGAAATTCTCAACATGAATGGTCACAATTTTTATATGAATTATAAGGAAAGTAGAACAGAACTCTTTCTTGTAAAAACCGATTGTCCTCAATGTATATATATTACAAAAGATGACCTAAAAATTAAATTAACTGGAATGCACTAAAATACAAATAGAAAAGCTGAAATTAAATACAAGTGATATATAAGAAAAAAATGAATAAACAGTAAGAAGCCACGATAAAGAATGTTACAATAGAGAGAACAGCAAGGCCAAAGGTATTTTCAATGAAAATGCTTTTAAAATTTGATGAGACTACTAAAAATATATGCCTACTAATGTATCCACAAAAATAACAAATTTAACATTTTTTAAAATTGATAAGGGCCGGGCACTGTGATGCCTCCCAAAGTGCTGGGACTATAGGCTTCAGCCACCACAACTGGCTTATTTAACATGGAAGTACCATAGTGGTATATAAAGTTATTTAGAGGCAATAAAACTATATTTTCATTACATTTTAATGTCTGTATGAAATAGAAAATTCATACTCTTTACCAAATGCAGCACCTCAAATAGAATTCTGAGTACATCCCATATGTATCAAAGAAATTCAGTTTAGACATAAACTTTCCTACAAAAATAGTCTACAAACTCAGATGACATTACTAGTGAATTATAACATTTAAAAATAAAGCAGTACTCTCACCAAATGCTTTCAGGTTACAGAAAAACAGAAATTCTTCCCAAGATAGCCTTGATACCAAAACCTTTCAAGTTTATAGCTATGAACAAAAACATGGTCAAATATCCTTGTGAACATGGATGAAGAAATAAATCTTACCCTACATAAAATATATATCCACTTTTTTTTTTTTTTTTTTTTTCTTTTTTTTTTTTTTTTTTTTTTTTGAGACAGAGACTCCCTCTGTGGCCATGCAGTTGTGCACTCTCGGCTCACTGCAACCTCGGACCCCCGGTTTAAAGTTATTCTCCTGCCTCAGCCTATAGGTGCCTATAGGTGTGCACCACCATGTCCAGCTAATTTTTGTATTTTTAGTACAGATGGGGTTTCAGCATGTTGACCAGGATGGTCTCGATCTCCTGAGCTCGTGATCCGCCCGCCTCAGCCTCCCAAAGTGCTGGGATTCCAGACGTGAGCCACCGCACCCAGCCAGCACTGATATTTTATGAGGGAAATATACAACGATCGTCCTGGATTTATTTCAGAAACAAAAGCTGGTTTAACATTTGAAACAATAAAAGTAGTCTATAAAAACGTTATATAAAGAAAACATATATGATTCCAACTGATACAAATAAAAATGTTACAACAATTGATAAAATCTATTAGAAAATAGGACTATTATAAAACTGCTTCAATATGAGAAAGATAGGATGAAAAAAACCAGCAAGCTTTGTAAATATGAATAACATGTTTAAGTATTTTTTGCCAAAACCAGGAAACGATACACATGATACACACAGAACTTTGATTGCACTTTCTATTCAACTATGGGTATAAAACCCTAGCCAGTGAAAATAAATGAAAATAAAACTAAGTTATAGCACATGGATTAAAAAAAAATAAAAGTGTGATGATTTGCAGATAAAATGTTCTTTATATAGAACACCCAGAAAAAAATCAATAGTTGACATAATAGATTTAAATATATAAAATCAATGGAATAAGTAGATATAAAATCAAAATGCAGACATCAATTGTATTTCTATTTATAACAACAAAAACTATTAAAGGGAATTTTAGAATCAGGATGCCATTAACAAAAGCATAAATGTAAAATACCTACAATTCTGTATGACTTCAATCCCCCAAAATACAAAATATAATAGATATTAAAGATAGCACAGTACATTGAAAGAAACACTTTATGTTGATTAGAAAAGTCAATATTATAAAGAAGCTCATCTTTAAAAATTACTTTAGAGAATAAATGCAGTCACAAACAATCCCAGGAGACGCTTTTTTTTTTTTCTGGATAGCTTTATTAAGTGTCATGTACAAAGCATAAATTTCATCCACTTAAAATGATTAAAAATCAATGATGTTTAGTATATTCACAGAGTTACAACCATCACCACTACTGAAATTTCTGTCTCTTATACACATCTAGATGTGTATAAGAGACAGAAATACAAGTGATATATAAGAAAAAAATGAATAAACAGTAAGAAGCCACGATAAAGAATGTTACAATAGAGAGAACAGCAAGGCCAAAGGTATTTTCAATGAAAATGCTTTTAAAATTTGATGAGACTACTAAAAATATATGCCTACTAATGTATCCACAAAAATAACAAATTTAACATTTTTTAAAATTGATAAGAGCCGGGCACTGTGATGCCTCCCAAAGTGCTGGGACTATAGGCTTCAGCCACCACAACTGGCTTATTTAACATGGAAGTACCATAGTGGTATATAAAGTTATTTAGAGGCAATAAAACTATATTTTCATTACATTTTAATGTCTGTATGAAATAGAAAATTCATACTCTTTACCAAATGCAGCACCTCAAATAGAATTCTGAGTACATCCCATATGTATCAAAGAAATTCAGTTTAGACATAAACTTTCCTACAAAAATAGTCTACAAACTCAGATGACATTACTAGTGAATTATAACATTTAAAAATAAAGCAGTACTCTCACCAAATGCTTTCAGGTTACAGAAAAACAGAAATTCTTCCCAAGATAGCCTTGATACCAAAACCTTTCAAGTTTATAGCTATGAACAAAAACATGGTCAAATATCCTTGTGAACATGGATGAAGAAATAAATCTTACCCTACATAAAATATATATCCACTTTTTTTTTTTTTTTTTGAGACAGAGACTCCCTCTGTGGCCATGCAGTTGTGCACTCTCGGCTCACTGCAACCTCGGACCCCCGGTTTAAAGTTATTCTCCTGCCTCAGCCTATAGGTGCTATAGGTGTGCACCACCATGTCCAGCTAATTTTTGTATTTTTAGTACAGACGGGGTTTCAGCATGTTGACCAGGATGGTCTCGATCTCCTGAGCTCGTGATCCGCCCGCCTCAGACTCCCAAAGTGCTGGGATTCCAGACGTGAGCCACCGCACCCAGCCAGCACTGATATTTTATGAGGGAAATATACAACGATCGTCCTGGATTTATTTCAGAAACAAAAGCTGGTTTAACATTTGAAACAATAAAAGTAGTCTATAAAAACGTTATATAAAGAAAACATATATGATTCCAACTGATACAAATAAAAATGTTACAACAATTGATAAAATCTATTAGAAAATAGGACTATTATAAAACTGCTTCAATATGAGAAAGATAGGATGAAAAAAACCAGCAAGCTTTGTAAATATGAATAACATGTTTAAGTATTTTTTGCCAAAACCAGGAAACGATACACATGATACACACAGAACTTTGATTGCACTTTCTATTCAACTATGGGTATAAAACCCTAGCCAGTGAAAATAAATGAAAATAAAACTAAGTTATAGCACATGGATTAAAAAAAAATAAAAGTGTGATGATTTGCAGATAAAATGTTCTTTATATAGAACACCCAGAAAAAAATCAATAGTTGACATAATAGATTTAAATATATAAAATCAATGGAATAAGTAGATATAAAATCAAAATGCAGACATCAATTGTATTTCTATTTATAACAACAAAAACTATTAAAGGGAATTTTAGAATCAGGATGCCATTAACAAAAGCATAAATGTAAAATACCTACAATTCTGTATGACTTCAATCCCCCAAAATACAAAATATAATAGATATTAAAGATAGCACAGTACATTGAAAGAAACACTTTATGTTGATTAGAAAAGTCAATATTATAAAGAAGCTCATCTTTAAAAATTACTTTAGAGAATAAATGCAGTCACAAACAATCCCAGGAGACGCTTTTTTTTTTTTCTGGATAGCTTTATTAAGTGTCATGTACAAAGCATAAATTTCATCCACTTAAAATGATTAAAAATCAATGATGTTTAGTATATTCACAGAGTTACAACCATCACCACTACTGAAATTTAGGAAGTTTTCATCACCACACAAATAAACGTTCTATCAATTAGTGGTCATCTCCTATTTCAACTTCCTTTAGGCATTGACAACCACTATTCTACTTTGTGTCTCCATGGGTTTGACTGTTCTTGATATTTCATAGAAACTGACTCATATAACATGCAACTTTTAGAAAGGCTGAATACCACATATATCATGTTGCGCAAAACAAGCCCGACACAAATGCTAGGATATCTGTACTTTAGTAATTGTGTGTATCCTACTTCAATAATTGATTTAGAATTTTCTTATTAGAGCAAATAACATAATTCATTTCAAGATTTATGCAATCATAATATTATTTCTATTTTAAGAAACATAAAATGTATCTGATGCACTGCAAATGCAAACGCTTTACTTCTAAAGCTTATGCTTACAATGATATATTTTTGAAGATCCACATTGGTCTGAAAAAAGTCCACGTACATGTAGCATGGCACAGTTATGTTCAGCATGATCTGACTCTTTTATCCTGTAATGGAAATAAATCCATATTCTGTTACATTTTACGCAAATGATTCATGAGACAAAAACATTTTCCATGTACTGTAAGAAAAGAACTTTATGGAAAAGGGCAATTAAATTTTTCATAATATTAGTAAGAGTCATTATTCTGAACACTCAATAGCGTGGTCCCCCTTCATCCACGGGGGATATGTTTCAACCCCAGTGGATGCCTGAAACAGCAGATAGTACAGAACCTATACAGAGATTATGTTTTCTCTACACATTCATAACTATGATAAAGTTTAATTTCTAAATTAGGCACAATAAGAGATTGACAACAATAACTACTACTAATAAAAATTATAGCAATATGCCAACAGCACTACCATTGTGCTCTGAGGATATTCTTAAGGAAAAATGTAAGCGTGGCTTTTTAATAAAAACAAGCTCTGCAATTCCCTGATAGTCCGTCTCAAGCTCGTCCAACTCGCTGCCCATGGGCCGCATGTGACCCAGGACAGCTTTGAATGCGTTCCAACACAAATACGTAAACTTTCTGAAAACATTCTGAGATCTATATATATTTTAGCTCGTCAGCTATCATTAGTGTTAATGGATTTTATGTGTGGGCCAAGACTATTCTTCTTCTTCCAATATGGACCACAGAAGCCAAAGATTGGACACCCCTGGTCCATCTGATAACCAAGAAGGTTACTAGCTGACTAATGAGTGGGTAGACATTATGGACTACTATAGTCTATTGTAAAATATTTATGTCAATATTTCACTAACTTTCCACATCTTTCTTCATGTCAATGATTCCACATACATTTATTCATATTGTTCTTCTGAATTTCTCACTTATATAGATATTTTTATATAGCACTGTACAAAACAACTTACTCATGTTTGAAAGTCAAACCGTTTATTGTCACCCATGGATGATGACTGCTGTCACGAAACACATCAATCCATGAGGAAGGTGAAATGGCGGTCAGAAATTTCTAAAAGAAAAGAAAGAATTTTCACATAAATAATAATTATGACAACATTTAAAAACAATATATTAAAGCTGAAAACTACTATTTGCGGTACCAAAAACTTTCATATATGTTTATAATTTTGATATAAATGAACTCTTCAACATTTATACTTAGTACTTTCATTCTTACTCGCATGTTAATAAGGACATTTTAATTCTTGCATTATTATAGTTACCCCAAATGACTGAATAAACACAAGAAAGATTTAAATAAGTTTCCTGATACTGTGCATTCATTCCTCCAGATACTGTGATGAAATCAATCTATTTTTGTACTATATTTTCCAGAGTAGGAGATTTAGAAGAGAAATGAGAGGTTGTTATTTGGAAATAAATGACATAGAAGCTACAGATTGAGTTTTCTGGGCACCACACCATTCTTTAACTAGATAAGCCCTCACTTTTAACTGATCTAGTTTTGGTGGAATAACAGTGGTCCTGACCAGGTGGTGTAGACTCGTCTCTCTCTGGTACTCCCGGCTAAAAGCAACTGTGATTAATGAAAGACAAAAGCAATGGAGAACTCTGAAAGGTGGAAAGAGATAGATGACATCGTCTGGGACCCTAGCATCGGGGATCAACAAAGTGGCCGAGCGAGCATGTGAAGTCCCCCACCCGACAGAAGACGGTGACCTAGGCCTGCTGTTTCCCTGCACCCAACCTGGCAACAGGAGGAGGGTAATGATGGGGAGTCCCCTCCACACCACCAGGCGAGGCTGGTACCACTGGCGAGGATGAGCTACCAGGAGACCTGCTATCAATGCAGCCAGAGGAAGTGCTTCCTTCTCATTCCAAGAGACACCAGGGTGGATGTGGGTGAGGAGGATCAGCAAAGCGACCCCATGACTACCAGTGCACCACCCAGGGTCCTCTTTGTCCCTGAGGGCGGGAGACCCACTTCCCCACCCAGAAACAAGGACTCAATGGATTCTTAGTGTTCTTTGTATATAGTACAGCAGTGAACAGTAACAAATGACAGATAACTGCAATAATATGGAGGGATTGCACAAATATCAGATAGGAGTGAAAAACACAGACATGAAATTTACACTGTATGATTCCCTTTATATAAATTCAAAAACAGGCAAATGTTATTTATAACATTAAAAGTCAAGACAATGTTTTGGAGAGGAGTCAGGATAAGTGATGAGGGCACACACAGGGGTGGAACTGCTAGAGCTGGAAACTGTTATTTCATGATCTGACTTGTATCACAGGAGTTCATTCACTTTGTGACCAATCTGCACGACCAGATCATATAATGCCTGATAAAATTAGATAGCAACATTTATTGTGGATTCAAAGCATTTATAGAAGCATGGTTTTCCATGAAAGCAAAAACTGAAAATAATCAAAAGCACGTTAGCAGTATATGAATTTTTAAACATTATTAAGTCAATCAATTAACTATTACATAAACTTGAAAACATATAAGCTACTCCCTACTAAAAACATAAGCTAAATATATATATCCACACATATGGATGATTTCTACAAATATATTATTGACCGAAATAAGTTTTTCATAAAGTGCTTATAACATTTACATCTTACCATTTCTTCTTCATTATCTATAGAAAGCAGACTGGAGTTCTTCGAAGTACAGGCCAGCAAACTCTCTGCCCAAGTTCTTTTCTCCTTACCAATATAATAACAACTGTTGGAATATGTAATCCACTCCTTAGGACAATGGCCACAGTGATGTGCTAAATAAAGATATGAATTACTGTCTAGACCAATATGAATTTTTAAAAATGAAATTTTTTTTTACATATTTGCAAAGGTATAAACCTTTATGCATGCAACATATCTATGCATCTTCAGAGGCTGGTAAATATGTAGTTTTAAAATACCCCAGTCACTTATATACATATGCGCAATAAAAGGTCAACCTCTCATCTCCTAATTGTGTTCCCATATAAAGCAAACCAGCAAACAAAAATCTACTCTATACATGTCTTGAAAATCAATGAACTAATCTGATTTTTAAGGAGCAATAAATAACTTGTATCTCATAGCAATAAGAATTTGAACACAACAGATAAAAACAAAGCATAGTGATTTTACTTACAGTTGATGACAAGGGAATGCTGAACATTTATTGCCAAATTTTATAATTTTTCACCCCAAATTTTTTTTTGTACAGCCTAAGATCAAGAAAAAATAAACTGTACAATATTAAAACTTTAAAAATTATTATATACCTTTCTGAGTTCTTGTATTCAGGGAAGAATTGTTGTGCTTCTGTGTTAATGTAGCTAGAAAAATTAAAGTAATCTTTGTAAAAAATTAGCATCTAAATCAATCATAATAATTTTAAGTTTTTGTTTGAATTTTTTTGTGTTAGAATAATATCGAATAAAAATGATTTTAAGAAAAATTTGATAAAGTAATAATAGTTTTTTGGAAAAGTATTTCATAGATCTAAAGAACCAAATTTCACCATCTCATATAGTTCTTATAATTCGTGATTTAACTACTTTCAAAAATTAATTTCTATTTCTCAGTAAGGTTTTTCAGACTCCTAGAACATATTTTTGAGTTATGAAATCAAAATATATACATGCAATTGCATCAGAAGCGAATACTTTCAACAATTATTCTTTCATTTATTCTTTGACAAATTCTGAATGACCATTCCACATTCAGTCCAAAGATATACATTACAATGAGAATTCTATTCCCTGAAAATATGAAATGTATAGAGGCACATTCAATCATTAACGTGAAAATTCCCCTTGTAATCTTCTAAAATAGACTTACAGGGAATAACAACTATTGTTACCACAGAGGCCATTAAGACAAGACAGATGATTCCCAGTATCCCAGCAATGAGCTTCTCTGGAGCTGAGGGTAAATCTGCAGGGAGTGAAATGGGAACAGTGCGAAAGGAGAGGTGGACATAGTTGTTTAGAAGATTCAAAAACAAAAGAACCTGAATGCACAGGAATCATACGGAGAAACTTGGACCCCAAACCCTCATCTCCCATTGTAATCTTTTTCTCAGAATAATATACCATTGCGTTTTCAGTAAAAATAATGCTCCATGAATTCTTTGACGAAGACTACACATTTCAACAATGAGTTAAATCAGTCTTCATATTTTATATTGAAATAGCATATCTCAACTTGAAATTCTGATCTTTGCAAATAGAAAATATGTGAGCACTCCCGGCTCTTTCCCCACATCCCTGTACCCCAAGCTGCACATCCTAGACAGTTATAGTGAGGATCTTTTGAATGCTTTACCTTTGCAGTGATTGGTTTTGTCATTCCCTTGAAAATCCTGAGAAGTTTTTTGAAGGTTTAATTCCGCATAGGTTATTTCCTGTTCAGTTACTAAAGTGGATCTTGAATTGCCCTTAGGTTTTTGCTGCTGCCTCTTTTGGTTTGGGGGCAGATTCAAGTCTGAGTAGATTACTCCTTGGTTATCCATCTCTGCAGTGTGTGATGTCAGGGACTGTACTCTACAATAACCGTAGTTAAGAAGTTAATAAATGGTTTATATACAATATTCCCTAGTGCAGTTAAAAGGGTGAGGTGGAGAACGAGTATTGGAGCTCATTTTGCATTAAAGAATCTAAAGTTCTTTCTCTAATTTTCTTCAGGCCTAAACAAGTAGTTCTTATGGTAAAATATTTGTTTTAAAAAAAAGATTTTTGGGTCGGGCGCGGTGGCTCATGCCTGTAATCCCAGCACTTTGGGAAGCCGAGGCGTGCCGATTACAAGGTCAGGTGATCCATACCATCCTGGCTAACACGGTGAAACCCCGTCTCTACTAAAAATACAAAAATTAGCCGGACACGATGTCAGGAGCCTGTAGTCCCAACTCTCAGGAGGCTGAGGCAGGAGAATCGCTTGAACACGGGCGGCAGAGGTTGCAGTGAGCCGAGATCGTGCCACTGCACTCCAGCCTGGGCGACAGAGTGAGACTCTGACTCAAAAAAAAAAAAAGAGAGAAATTTCTACGTTTGACAAAATATTATTGCTGGGGCAATAAGAAGCAATAAATTACTAAGGAATAAAGAAGTTCAGGAATAAAAATATATTTCTTAAAGTCTGATGCTTTACCTGTATTAAAAATTAAAATGTATTAGAAAAAGTTCTGCACTCATTTTTTATGTTAATTTTGAAATCCAGTAATGGTTAAGACGATGTGGTCTGCACATGAGTAATAGTAAAGTTGAGATATATACACACACACACATATATATAAATTTCTTGCACTAAATTACTTTTATTTAGTAATTTATATACATTAATGAAAATCAATAGGGGTAATTAAATGGTCTTTTCTTAATGGTTGAAATGTTCTAAGAAATTATTAAAAATTATTTAAATTATTAAAAATGATTACAAATGTGAATATTTGTACATGTCAGAAAATGCTATGTGACACTGTTAACTTATGAATAACCTAAATAGTATTAGGAACACCATATAAATTGTTAATACTTATAGAAGTATTGGTAATTTAATAAGTAATTGGTAATTTATTTCCTGGCTAAATTATGAACCAAAAAATGATAAATAAAAGTATAGGTAATTCATGTTAAAGCACATTTCATTTAAACTTATAGAAAGATTTTACAGTTGTCAAGGTGAGTAAAGGCCACTTTTGTTGTATAAGTACTTGTAAAATTTCAGATAATGTAATTAAATCATTTAGTCAATGGGCTCTGGAGTCAGTGAGATCTAGAATGAATTCTAGCTTTGACACTTACAATGTGTGACCTTTAAAAAGTTATTCTATGTTTAATAACCCAGTTTGTTAATCTAAGATGGGAATAAGAACATATAAAACGTTGCATGTAAAACATTTACCACTCAACCTGGCACTTCAAGTTCTCAATAAGCATTAGCTATTTTAATTATTATTTTAGTCACAATTGTTATGTTACTGTTTCTGATTCGTGTCAGTTAAAGAATGGAAAATGAATCTTCAGATAAGTCTCCTATATCCGTGTGCTACATCTTTTTTTGCAATATTTTGATAAACTTTAAAAAAGTATTTTGATTGTTTTGTATTACCTTTAGCATTTTATGTACTCTACCTCATTGTGATTTTTATTAAAAATAAAAACTGCTTTTATTTAATCTACATGTCTGAGGAACTGTATTTGGCTTTCATCAATTGATTCATTTATTTTAATAATCTTTAATGGCTAAGCTAAATATAAATTATTATTCAAAGATACATGATGTACTGATTACAAAATACAAAATTAATTGTTCATTATTGTGAGATTAATAGGTTTCACTTAAATTATATTGATCAACAAACCCACTAGGTTTCCACAAACAAGAATTTGAAAACTTTAAGAAATCCTTCAACATATTTCATATGGTTTTTACCCTGAGTTATTCAAATGAAGACAGCAATATTCTACTTTGATTTTACTGTATATTAATTATACCTCCTTTGTACCATATTGAGCACTTGTAATCACCCACTAAATGAGGTAGGCTAGTAGAGAGTTGGAGAGTAGCAACACATACCTTCTGTCCCCAGAAAGTCACACATCCTTTAGTGGAGAGGCCAGGTTAGTCTCACAAAAAGGCCTGCTATAGCTGGGTAATAAAAGGTGAAATTTAAAGGCATAAATTCAGGATAAGAACAAACAATGCCTACAATCTTTGCAGACTGCCCTGTGAAGGCTCAGAGTGAGTCAAGAGTGGAAAAAGTAGATTTCTCATCAACGTGTTACTAAGGTTTGAACAGGAAATTCTACACATGGGCTATTGTGAAATCAGTTTAATCTCATCACACACCTCCAAAATATAGGATACTCTGGTCTGTTAAAAGTACAAGGTTGACTTTGAAAGTGGGTCATTTAGTTGGTCCATTTTTCAAGCGCCTATGAGAATTTTTTTTTCTCTTTTGATCACAAACATTGCCAACCCTCACCTTGTTAAGAGTGCCTTTTGGACTAGATTGCTAAATCTTAACATTGCATACTTCTTTTCTTTATATTATTTTATTATGTCACTTCCATTATAATAGAAAACATTCTAAAACTCATAGTAACATTATCAACTGATAGCTACTGATTTTTTCCTTAATTATTCTGAAAAATTACTGCAGTAATTACTCAGTTGACTGTAGCTGACACAAAAACCATCATTGCCAAAGTTATGTTATTAACTTAGTTCTTAAATTTTTGCATTTAATTTTTAAAAAATAGATTATTTAATCTTCAGATTACCGTTGATGAAAATAAATGTATCTTGGAAAGGTAAAATATTAATCAATTTTGAAATATATTAGCATACCAGAGATTGAAATATTAAATATCTATTCATCACATTCTTCATTTATCCATTCTCCACCATAACAAATTATCTCAACTTCGATGGAAATATTTCGTTGTAAATGACAAAAACTGAAGTCAAACTCTGTGTGGAGAAAAAGTAATTTTAAAATCTCACTAGGAGGAAAGTCAGCAAATTGGCAGAATAGGTGGTCCCCCACACATATGCCCCCATAGCAACAATAATTTTTCAGCTATCCACAGACAAAAGTGGAGGAAACTCCCTTTGAGGGAGTTTTGGAATTCAAGTAGGAGTTTGTAAGATGCCAGTGGAACCCAAGACCTAGGAGGGTTGTTTTAGAGAATAGATTTGCATCCAAGTGGCAGACTTACCAACAGTGATTCCATCTCCAGACCTGAAAAGAGACCCATCCTCCTGTGGACTTGCCTTCAGCCGCATTAGGACTTCGTCGTGCTGCCAAAACCATTTGTCCAGGAGCCCAGGAGGAGACTCAAACACTAGTGTCTCAGGAGGTAGGCATATCAACTGTAGTCTCAATGTAGACCCTGAAACAGCCCTCTAACTTGGCTTTAGCTACTCTCAGCCACAACTTTTGAGATCAGTCTTTCACCCACAGAGACTTCCTGGGAGACAGATACATCTGTTCCCCTGGGGCATGCTTGCCGACCTCTGTCCTCTAGAAGATACTAAAATGGCCCTGAATCTCCACTCAAACTCCTCTCAACTGTGGCCTGAGTTAATCACAGGAAATTGCTGTGAGACTCACTCATCTTTGTCAGCAGTACAGGCTTGCTGACTTCAGTTCCATGGTAGTTTCTGAAACTGCCTTGAATCATGACTCTCATCCTTCTCAGCTGTGGGCTGTGAGCAGTCTTGCCAGCTCAGGGATACAGAGGGAGGGCATGTGCATCCATGTCCCGACTGGGAGACCGTTGACCTAGGTTTCACAGCACATCCTGAAATGGGCCAGAAAAGGGGGTTCAACCCTTCTCAGCTATGCTAGAGAGCAGTTTGCCCACACAGGGACCTAGAGAGAGACATCATAAGTGCCCCTAAAGGTACAGACCTTAGTTTTATTTCAGATCTTGAAACAATCCTGTGATCCAGCTCCAGCCCATCTTAACTACAGTCTGAAGCAAGTTTGCCTGCCCAGATACCTGCCAGAAAACACACTCATCCATGACCCCAGAGACAGACATGAAGACACTGGTTTCAGCTATAGACTCCGAGGAAACCTTGTGACTTAGCACTAACTCCTCTCCACAGGTTGAGGAACCCACTCAGAGACCCATGAGCAGCCTTCCCAGAAAAATAGATAAACTCTCCCCCAACTACACACCTAATAATAGACCCACCATCTACAGACCCTGAAGTGGACCCTCATTCCCTCCCCAGCCCTACAGAGTATGATGCTAGAGCCAGTTTGGTCCTCTGAGGGACTAAGGAGGATACAAGCCTGCTAGAAGCCCTAGTAACAGGATCATGAACCAAAGATCCCACTCTGGACCCATAAGCAACCATGTGATCCGGCTGTAACCCCATTCAACCATGACACTGAAGGCAATCTCATCAGCCCAGGACCCTAATAGGAGAAGGTCTTAACCTACCGAAACCAGTCTGTAAAGACTGAAAGAGATGTCTGCTCTTTCAAGTGCACAGACACCAGTACAAGGATAAACAAATAACAAAGCATCAGACATATATGACACCACCAAAGGAAATGAATAAAGCTTTAGCAACTGATTCAAATAAATGGAGATTTATAAGTTTCCTTTAAGATAATTCAAGACAATCATCTTTAAAAATCTCAGTGAGATGCAAAAGAAGAGAGTACTAAAAACTCTAAAACAAAAATACATGAACAAAATAAGAATTTAATAAAGAAATATAAACCACTAAAAACAACCAAACAAAAATTCTGGAGCTGAAGAACACAATGAAAGAAAGAAATAAGTCAATAAAGAGTTTCAATACCTGACTCAAACACGCAGAAGAATTAGTGAACTCAAAAAAGAGTCATTTAAAATTAACAAATTAGAGTAAAAAAAGAAAAAAGAATAAAAAGTGGCAAATAAAGCATAAGAGACCTTTGAGACACCACCAAGAATATGGTATAGAAAGTATAGAAACTTCAGAAGGAGAAGAGAGAGATAAAAGGTCAAAAATATTTTTTCTTTAAAGACATACTGTCTGGAAACCTTCCTCACTTGGGAAGGATATGGAAATCCAGATTCATGAAGCTCAGTGAATCATAAGCAAGATCAGCCCAAAAAACACTATTATGAAGCACAATATAATCACATTGTCAAAAGTCTAAGATAAGAGAATCTTGTGGGGGGTTTTGTTTATTTTTTAGCTTAACGTGATCCCATTTGTCCATCTGTGCTTTGGTTTCCTCTGCTTGTGGCATATTACTCAAAAAATCTTTGGCCAGTCAATTGTCCTTGATAATTTTTCCAATTTTTTTTTCTTTCAATTTTTATTTTTAGATACAGGGAGTACATGTGCTGGTTTGTTACATGAATTTTTCCAATTTTTTTTCTTTCAACTTTTAGTTTCAGATACAAGGAGAACATGTGGTGGTTTGTTACATGGGTATGTTACACCAGGATAGTGAGTATAATCCAAAGTAGGTAGTTTTCTGAACCATTCTTCCCTACTGTCCTCTCCCCTCTAGTAGTCTGCGGTGCCTGTTGTTCCCATATTTTTGTCTAAGTGTGCTCCGTGCTTGGTTTCCACTCATAAGTAAGAACCTTCAGTAGTTGGTTTTCTGTTCCTGCATTGATTTGCTTAGGATTATGGCCTCCAGCTCTGTCCATGTTGCTATAAAGAACATGGTTTTATTCTTTTTTATGGCTGTGTACTAGTCCATGGAGTATATATGCCACATTTTCTTTATGCAATTCATCACTGATGAGCACGTAAGTTGATTCCATATCTTTGCTGTTGTGAATAGTGCTGTGATAAAAACGAGTGCATGCATCTTTTTGATATTTCAATTGAGGGTCAAATCATAGCTCTGTTTGAAGTATTATGAGAAATCTCCAAACTGCTTTCCACAGTGGTTAGTCTAGTTTACATTCCCACCAACAGTGTATTAGCATTTTCTTTTTTCTACAGCCTCACCAGCGTCTGTTGTTTTTGGACTTTTAAATAGTGGTCATTCTGACTAGTGTGAGACGGTATCTTATTGTGGTTTTGATTTCCATTTCTCTGATGATTAGTGATGATAAGTGTTTTTTAATACGCTTGTTGGATACTTGTACGTCTTCTTTTAAGGAGTGTCTGTTCATGTCCTACGCCCATTTTTAAATGAGGTTATTGTTTTTCCTTGTTGTTCTGTTTAAATTCCTTACAGATTCCAGATATTAGACCTTTGTCAGATGCATAGTTTGCAAATAACTTTTCCCATTCTGCAGGCTGTCTGTATATTTCATTAACAGTTTATTTTGCTGTGCAGAAGCTTTTTAGTTTAATTAGGTCTCATTTATCAATTTTTGTTTTTATTGCCATTGATTTTAAGGACATAACCAAAAAATTGTTTGCCAAGGATAATGTTGAGAAGGGTATTTCCTAGGTTTTCTTCTAAAATTTTTAGATTGAGGTATCACATTTAAAATTTTCATTATCTTGAGTTAATTATTCTATATGGTGAAAGGTAAGGGTCTATTTTAACTCTTCTGCACATGGCTAGCCAGTTATACCAGTGATACAGAACTAGAAAGAAATTATTTAGGCAGATAGTGAGGGTAAAGGAATCCTCAGCAAGGCTTCCCTTTTAACAGAAAGCAGCCCCAAATAACTTCTTTTCTAACAAAGAGTAGCCTGAAAAATCGAGCAGCAGACGTAGATAAGCAGGCTGGAAGGTTGCATGCATGAATGATGGCAGCTGTGCCAATAGAAAAGGGACTGACTGGAAGTCAGGTATTTTCAACATGGAGGCTCCATCTTCCCTTTTCTTTGTCACTAGTAAAGAACCAGGGAACATGGCACAGGCCAGGTAGACAACCATCTGCATAATAAAAGATTAGGGTTGAGTGGCCAGCTTCTTTAAGCGCTATGCAAATGGCATGCCTGGTCTGACCAATCTTTCATGCCATATGTAAATCAGACCCTGCCCCCTCAAGCTCATCTATAAAACCCACATTTCACTGCAGAAGCAACAACCCATTTTCTCCAGCATACCTCCCTGTGCAGAGATCTCTTCTCTTTCTTTTGCCCATTAAACCTCCTCTCTTAACCTCACTCTGGTGGGTTCACGTCCTGGTTTTCTGTGGTCATGGGACAACAAACCTCAGAAATTACCCCAGACAACAAGGCGATTTCATCAGCATCATTTATTGAATAGGGAGTCCATTTATATCTTTTTTTTTTTTTTTTGTCTTTTTCAAAATCAGATGGCTGTTAAGTGTGCAGCTTTATTTCTGAGTTTTCTATTCTGTTCCATTAGGATAGATGTCTACTTTGTACCATACCATGCTGTTCTGATTACTGTAGTCTTATTGTAAAATTTGAAATTGGACAATGTAATGCCTCCAGCTTTCTTCTTTTTGCTTAAAATTGCTTTAGCTATTCAGGCTCTTTTTTGGTTCCATATGAATTTTAGAACAGTTTTTTCTAATTCTCTGAAGAATGGCATTGGTAGTTTGACAGGAATTGCACTGAATCTGTAAATTGCCTTAAGCAGTATGGCCATTTTAACAATATTGATCCTTTAAATACATAAGCTTGGAAAGTTTTTCCATTACTTTGTGTTATCTTTGATTTCTTTCAGTAGAATTGTGTAGTTCTCCTTGTAGAGATCTTTCACCTCCTTGGTAGGCTGTATTCCTATGTATTTCATTTTCTTTGTGGCTTACATAAATGGGATTGTGTTTTATATTTTACTCTCAGCCTAGACATTATTAGTGTATGGGAATGCTATGCTTTTGGTACATTGATTTTATTGATAACAAAAGTCTCTATCCTGAGACCTTAGACTAAGATCATTTACCAGTTCTAGTAGCCTTTTGGCAGTCTTTTTTTCATCTTTTAATTTTAGGTTTAGAATACATGTGAGGGTTTATTACATAAGTAAACTCATGTCGTGAGGGTTTATTTACAAATTATTTCATCGCCCAAGTATTAAGCCCAGTACCCAATAGTTATCTTTTCTGCTCCTCTCCCTCCTCCTACCACTCTCCACTCTCAAGTAGACCCCAGTGTCTGTTGTTTCCTTCCTTGTGTTCATAAGTTCTTATCATTTAACTTGTACTTATAAGTGAGACCATGCAGTATTTGGTTTTCTGTTCCTGTTAGTTTTCTGAGGATAATAGCCTTTATCTCCATCCACATTCCCACTGAATATATAATCTTGTTCTTTTTTATGGCTGCATAGTATTCCATGAGTATATGTAGCACATTTTCTTCATCCAGTCTGTCACTGATGGGCATTTAGGTTGATTCCTTGTCTTTGCTATCATAAATAGTGCTGCAGTGAACATTGACATACATGTGTCATTAAGGTGAAATGATTTCTATTCCTCTGGATATATACCCAGTAATGGGATGACTGGGTCAAATGGTAGTTCCTCTTTTAGCTTTCTGAGGAATCACCATACTGCTTTCCATAAAGGTTGAACTAATTTACACTCTCATCAATGGTGTATAAGTGTTCCCT